ATGCATCATGTGCTCCAGCAAAGAATGACCCCACTCCCTTGTACCCACCCATCTTCTTTCCTATCATGTCAATCCCAGGTCAGTCTTCATTTCCAGAACCCTAATCCCCAAATGTCACTGGATACTGACATTTCTCACAGCATCTCCCATCCAGACTCTTTTGCTATGTCACTGGGAATTCATGTCAAACGTCAGAAAACCCACTCAGTATCCACCTCAGGATTTTCTTCTGTAGAAAGTCCATGTTCCCCCATAATATTACCCCAAGTTGGCACAGCCCCAGATCCCCTGCCAATGACCTTGCTTCCCTTGCAGCAGTCTCCATTGGAGGCTCTTTTCTTCCCCGCAGCCCCACATAAACCTAGCTTGAGGTGGGGTAGATATCCTCCTTGTTCCTAAATTTCTGTTTCACCTCGTTTATCCCTCTTCTCTCAAGGCAAAACAAAACAACACACACAAAAAAACCCAGTCTTCAAATTTCTGTCATTAAACTATTCTGCTATTTTTCCTTGTTGCTGTCAAGTTTATTTACCACTTCCATGTTATTTCTCATCATTTCTTAGAAAGTTAGCTTCTAGGTCACTGCTCTTCTAGCTTATTTTCTGCTCACCACTAACTCTCATCCATACTATATATTTCACTTATTGAGTTTGTTTATTTCTGACTACCTCCTGAGGGCACAGGCTCCAGGATGGCACTGACCTTTATTCTGTTTTCTTTACTGCATTGTATTTAGTATTTAAAACAGTGCTTTGGGGGTGACTGGTTAGCTCACTCAGTAGAGTGTGGTGCTGATAATACCATGGTCAAGGGTTAGATCCCCATACCGGACAACAGCCAAAAAAATAAAAAAATAAAACAGTGCTTGGCTCCTGGTAGGCCCTCAGGAAATTTTGTTGAGTGAATGGATATCTGAATGGGAGTTGGCTGACCATGCCTGGGACACTGTGCAATCCTTAAGGGCAGGTGTTATCTTCTTCATATCTTCACTGCCCACTGCTAATGCCTGGAACATAAGTGGATTTCAGAAAAATAATTGTGGGGGCCGGCCCGGTGGCGCACTGCTACAGTACGCCGCTTGGGAGTGTGGCGGCGCTCCCGCCGAGGGTTCGGATCCCACGTACAGACCGGCCGCTCACTGGCTGAGTGAGGTGCGGATGCAACACCGAGGGTTGCGATCCTGTTGCCGGTCTCGGTCCGGTACGGGCGCGATACTGAGGGTTGCGATCCGTTGCCGGTCACAAAAAAAGACAAAAAGGAAAAAA